ATCTTCACTTGCAACTATCGATCCATTTTGTAAATATTTTCGAATAGCTTTAGTTACTTTGCTGAGTTTTCGCAAAAACTTGGTTGTTTATTATTTCACCGTGTATAGATAAAGTATTTATCACTTCTAATATCATCGACGAATTAGGAGTTTATGATCGATAACAATAAATGACTCAAACATACTTCTAATGCTTTTCGCTACCAAACTTTTCCAAAAACCCTCAATCGTAGAAGTCCATAACGCTGTCACAAAATTGGGTGTGGGTATGGGTGTGCAGGTGCTTATTCTCTTCGACCACACTCACACCCTTCCTAGAATCCAATTACCTTTAAGTACATCACGACACTCGATCATATCAAATGAAGTAACATTTGAACCCCTTGATGATGATGGACTTGTTGATAGTGAAATCAATTAAATTACTATTTGTTTTTTTCTGATTTAACTAACTTTTTTCATTATATTTAATAGAGTTTGCGACTTTACTACAAAAATGATAATAGACACTTTAATTTAATTTTGTTATTCTAAAAAACTTGCTGTTATTACTGGTAAAATTCATGCTTGTATATATTCATTATTTTTACCTTTTTCTTTTATCAAATATTTCTAAGAAATATTCTATTAAATAAGAGAACCTTCAACAAAACTTTTTTTTTGATGAATACTTTATTTCAACTCATATTGGTGTTGATATATTACGTCCTTGAGTAAAATAACTTGTTACTGTTGTACCATCATCATTTGATGTTGGTGGCCATGAAGGGTGTGGGTGTTGGTGTCGGAAGATATAGAGTGAATGAAGACTAACACGCATACCCACATCTGAAGAGCACTAGTGTTTGTTTGACTTTAAACTTCGAAATATTCATATTGATTACTTTCAAAAGTGAGAACTTGATCAATTGATCCTTTTATGTGTATAATTAGTTGAATTTCTACACAAATCATTCCATCTAAAGAATAAAAAGCAAACAATCGATCGATCGAATTAATGTTTCTAACTTATAGGAATAGATAATTGAGAACAAAACATTTTCACTTGTTGTGGATATGGACCTGATTCTTTAAGTCAACATTGTTGCCGATAGATTATTCTTCTATTTGAAGAAATACTTCTGGACATTGTGTAGTTTAGATAGAGAATATTTGCTGATTATTAATTGACGAGAACAATATAGCATCAGTATTCTTTATTTTTCGGACACTAATGAATAATTATTATTTGATGATGAATGAATGTGGGTGAAAGCAATTTTGGTTGAGTATTATGATGACTGAAAGATAATGTTTCAGATTTGTTATAAACTTGAAAAAGATTACTACTACTTTTTCAATCTTCATAAAACTATCCAATATCATCTTTGAGCTGTTCTAACAAGTGAACGCTGGAAACAAAATAAAAGCGAAAGTTTTACTTATATATCTCACTCAGAAGTGAATAGCTTTGGTGGAATTTCTTATATTATCTCATCAACTGAAAAATTCTGAGATCTAATAGAATTATAGAATCTTGTTTGGATTATCTGTCTACGTCTTAGATAGTTTCTAGTATAATAGAAAAAAATTTCAAATCAATCTATTGATCTGTTTACTTTTTTTGGCGATACATTCACAGCCAGTCGTTTTTCATTCTTTTAACAGTATTCTAAGTACTCATTTTGCAAACTGGAGTTTTTACCTAGTTTTATTGTTGAATATATCGTTAGAAATAACAGCATAAATTGTGTTAGATATGCTATTTGAATAGAAATTTTAAGCTGAAAAATATTGTTATTCACGCATTGAAGAAGGTAAAAGTTATTTTAACAATGTGACTGGTAGAGAATCTTTTTCCGTAGGAAACTATGATATTTGAATTCAAAATAAATTATTTAACCTATGTTGTATACTTTTGTTACACGATGAATATCAGAAGTAAAAAAAAACTCACCTTAATTCTATGTAGTAGATAGAGAATGAAATTTAGAAGAACGTAATATGTTAAGTTTGGTTTGATAAATTATTGTTTAGTAAGAACTTAATATATTTATAATCGATTTTGATTTCAAACAGTTATAAAAGTTTCTTACAAAGAAAGATCATCTTCTTTGATGTGTGAATAAGAAAGTACGAGAACGTTTATCTGTTTATTTTCTAAATCTTCGTTCTCGAGATCATTGCACCAGAATATGATAACACCCAATGCCTGTGTCTAGTGAGTAAAAGAAGAATATTCGCAAAAGCCTACATAAATGTGGTGCGAAGCGATGTCAATTTTCGGCAATGAAGTTTCAATTAACATGAGGATGATAAACGATTTGATCTAGAGTGGATCATGTCTTGTTGAAAGTTTTCATTATTTCTGATGGAAAATGAAAGTCAAATTATCTCGAGATATGGATGTCTCTGACATAGTTCGAATGAATTTCTAGCAACTTACAGTTCGCTAGAACACATCGCGACACAAAGTATGGATTTAGTTAAAGCAAAAACCATGCAAAGTATAGAGGCCGAATGAGTATGCGACCGACTACATAAATACTATGATTCGCACCACATTAAAAACTGTATCGAATAAATAACTTTGTCCACACATTCGAACTTTATTAGAAACTAACTGAGAGATTCCTATAGCGAGGTCTGAAAGCGCGTCATGATTGGTAAACAGCCACCCAACTAGCTAAATCGGTGATAAGAAAGGAAGAAAAAAATAATAACTGCTGTGAAGAACGAAGTATTCAACGACGAACACTTCAAACTATTCACCTATGTGCAAACGAAAGCATGGCAATCAGTTTTGTTGAAGAAAAATATACTCGTAGTTATTTTACAAAAGACAGCTAAAATAATCAGCACAATCTCTATAGAATTATGATTTGAAACACTATGAAACTGTTTTAATCATTCTTGAACATGCCTTCTTTACATCTATCACTTGTATCGCGACATATCCGTCATAGTCTGTGGAGCAGGGTCCGAGTTTAATTTTCTTACAATATATTTCAACACTTATTAACAATCGTGTTTTACAAAGCATTCAGTAAATATTAACCGTTGAATCTTCATGAAATCATTATTTCTTCTTTGTTTTCTACAGTAAAACCTAATGATTTATTCAAATAAAGTGAACCAAAATAAAAAAAACAAGACTTTTTTTTGTCTTTTGAAAAATGGTAAAGAACTTATAATTGTTATCGAAATTTACCCACACCACGCCTTCTGCTTCTGATATTCGTACACGTGACGTTGTCCCTTCCCTTCCTTCAGGTGCTGAATTACTGCTATTGTTCACCTACGTAGAATTAAGTTTTTCTTCGTTGTACTAATCAGAATACGTTTTATTTCACATATCACACGGCAACAAAATAGGTAGTTTACATAAAAATTAATTATTACAGATAATGATTCGAACTATATCTGACTTGACAATATTCGTCTTTGGTTTAATGGCTATTATAGTAGGTCTACTCGGTTTAATGAATCCTGAAACAATTTTAAGCCAAATGAATTTCATCGTTCTTGATCGATCAACACGTCAAAATGGTGATTATACTATAGCATTCTTACTCTGTTCATCGATGGCTTCACTTAATATGGGTATTTATTATTTACTAGCAGCATGGAATCAATGGACAAAATTCTATCAATTTACAGTTGTTTTTCGGTTGTTAACTGTTACTATGTTCAGTTTGGCTATTAAGAATGGTCATGCACCAGAAGGTTTTATTAGCGTGGTAATATGGGAGTTATTAGGGGCATTAATAACAGGCACAGCTTTGTGGTATGATGCGAATACTAGAGTGAATAAAGTGAATCGGACATCATAAATATTTTGATCGTTAGTGAACGCAATACAAAATGATGTAATTGAGTTATGTTATTTGTGTTTTTATCTATGAAATAAATTTTAAAAAAATATTCATTCAACATCGACTGAACTGGAACTCAACAACAATCGATTACATTGCTAATGGTTGCTTAAAACGATAATTTTTTTCAATCAAACGACAATGACGATTAGAAAAACAGATTAATATGTAGTAATTATTTTGTTTTACCTCAATTGAGGTGTTTGTATGATTTTAGAACTTAATGAAACACTCAATAAGGATGATAATACGTGACTGTAGTCATCTCCTCACGCACCTGAATTTTTTACTCTGATTCAATCAACTACAAACGTTTCAATAGACTCACACCCACATTCCGAAATAATCTTAATTTTACATTCATCTATTTTTCAATAATATGCTAATTTCTTTCTATTACAAAAATAAAATTACTTGAAAACGTATAGAAGATGATTGTCTAGTCTAATATTTAATTTTTTTGTTTTCTATAATAAGTTTATTTGGTATGAGGTCGCTAGTGAATGATATATATTTCATTTACAATTGTCATTGGTTTTAACAATATGTCGGTATAAATTGGATCATTTATGAACAAGGACCTAACGCGAATGTCTTTTTTCTTGTTCAATAAAAGTTGTTTTTCTTTTAATTAAACCATACAATAATGAATCATACACTTGAATCCGATTCATCAACTACTGATAATAATACATGTCCATTAACAGATACTCAAACTTTAGTTTTATGTCAAGAATTTGCATCTGTAACTAATACTGATATAAATTTAGCTAAGATAATATTACAAGAAAATCAATGGAATCTTGAACGTGCTGTTAGTATTTATTTTGATTTAACAATAGATGAATCAAAATCATCCATGAAAAAAATTGATTCTTCTATACCAATTGATAATCAATATGAAAATTCGTCAGTGTTTTTTTTTGTGAATAAATATTCAATGAAATAATTTTTGTCTTCTCTTCTCTTATAATCACAGTGAATTAAATATAACTAATGTTAAATTACGAAATTTTAAATTACTTTCATGGAATATTGATGGACTTGATCAATATGCACTTGAAATAAGAACACAAGGTATAATTGATATTATTAAAAAGTAATATTATTTATAATGACATTCATTATGAATATGTAACATTTTGTTTTTCAAAGAGAAAAACCTGATGTTGCATTTTTGCAAGAAGTTATTCCAATATCACTTCAATTAATTCGAACATTTTTACCAGAATATAATTCATATACTGGTAAGATGAAATTTTCATTGACTTTTTTATATAATTTTTTTTTTTTTTGTTTAGGAGATAATCAAGGTTATTTTGTAGTTATATTAACTTATCGAGATATATTTAGAATACATGATTTTGAAATAATTACATATCCTGGTACTAATATGAATCGTAATTTACTTATTGTTCATGTATTATTTCTTATTTTTACATATAGATTTACTTATATTTGTTTTATAAATAGACTACATATAAAAATTCAATTGAAATTGATTTAATGACATCTCATCATGAAAGTGGTACTGACCAAATATCAAGTGAACAACGTATTGAACAATTAAAATTATGTTTTAAACGAATGTTAGATACTCCGTTACATCGAATTGTTCTATTTGGTGGTGATTTGAATATACGAGAAAAAGAAGTACGATATTGAAATTTTGATTTCGAGTACGAAATATTTCAAATTTTAATTTTTCATATGACACAAATAATAAAAATTTTCAATATATATATATTAAATCGATAGTTAGCCGACATAAAACATTTCAGAATATTAATCTTTACGAGATTTATATTGATGTATTTTTAATTTTGTTATTCTAGTTACAAAAAATTGGTAATATTCCATTTGGTATATGTGATTTATGGATTGAAACAGGCAAACAAAATGAATGTGCATATACATGGGATATGAATATTAATACAAATAATAATTTTTCATTAAATAATTTTCAACCTCGTGCACGTTTTGATCGTTTATATTTTCGATCAATAATAAACAATAATATAAAATTTCAACCATTTTTTTTTGAACTTAAAGGTCTTGAAAAACTTTCATCTATTCAACGTTATTGTTCAGATCATTGGGCTATTCTAGTTCATTTTGAACTTTAATCATTTATTTTTTTTTTGTTTCTAATATTATCTATAAAAATTAATTTTCATTTTTTCTAGATGTAAATGGTAGACATTAATTCTTCAACATTATTTCAAAGTAATTTAAGTACAATATTACATTGGCCATTAGCACGTAAAATTGAATTACTTTCATCATTTTCACAATGTTCAACACCATTATGTCTTTGTCCAGGATGGATAAAACCAAATGAAACAATAATAAATGATATAACAACAAATGATGATACAATAATAACACGTAAACCATTACTTTGTTGTTCATGTCAACATCCATATGATTTACATTATAATGATAAAACAAAATCAAAATATTGGTCATCTGAATCATCATTAGAACAAGTTGATTCAGCATTACAAACATTACTTGATGCTGATTTATTAATACGTTTTTCAACATCACCATCATTATCAGATCAACATGATTTATCAACAAATCGTACAATATTATTTATTGCACAAACATTACAATCAACAATAACAACAATGGCAATACATTCAACACGTCGAGATTTAATTAATACAAATATGATGAATTTATTAGGTATGTGTCCATTTGAACAACCATGTATACGTGATGCTGTTATTAATTTTATTTGTTCAACAACATTAAATTTTACATCATCATCATCATCATCATCATCAACAACAACAACAACAACAAATGATAATCAACAATTACATATTATATTTGAAGCTGGAAAACAATTTTTACATTTATTAAATACATGGAAAATGCCATCGAATGTTGCACATCAATTATGGTTACAAGAACAATCATCAACAATAAATATGAAAAAAGTAATTAATATAAAAATAATAATCTAATAGATGTTACAAAAAAAATTTAAGGGGATCCCCCTTTCCGAGGTTTCTCGAGAACGGCTCGGTGAAATTTTCTGAAACTTTCAGGGTAGGTAGATCTCGATGAGTAGAGCAAAAGTTGTCATAGGCTCAGAATTCAAAGATGCTGCCTTCCCAGAGATATTTGCGATCCAAGGGCGAAAAATGACCTGAAGTTCCCCCCACAAAACTCTTATACTGCATTGTTTAGAGCTGAAATTTTTTCTGCAGAAACTAGGAACAAATTGGGGTGGTCGTTTTTTTTTTCTTCGAAAAATATCGTTCCTAAGGGTCAGGAGAACCAAATTACTGACAGCACTATCAAAAAATGCGATTTTTTTCTTATAGTGCCAATTTTGTGGTACCTAGTAAAATTCCTTAAGAAGAATATTTTCAAGAGAAAAAAAAAACGACCACCCCGAATTATTCGAAGTATTCACAGTAAAAATTTCAGGTCGATTGATTGCGATGCGAGAGGAGAAAAGAGGGGAAAACTTCATTTTTATGCTGAAAAAACTGATTTTGAGAAAAACGCAAAGAAATTCCTGTTTTGGGGTTTTTTTCAGCATATTTTGTGATTTTTTTCGAAGTTTTTTATATATAAGATGTGAGTTTTCAGTTCTCAAAGTGTACTCAATGGATAGAGAGCATTTAAATCTATATACTAATCACAAAAAGTGTGAAAATTTTGAGTCGGAAAAGGGGGAGGTCCCCTTAAGCATTAATTTTCTTGTTAGAAAGAGTCTAAATTTTTATTAAAATATTTATCGAAGGTTGAAAAAATTCTTTTCATTCATTTATACGAAAAAAAATATTATAAATAGAAATCATAGTACACATAATATATATGATATGTATTTAAGTTAAGACATAGTAATTATTTTCAATAAATTTCATCTACAGTATAAAAAAAAGAACAGACCTAAAAATTTTCTTAGATCAATAATTATGAATTATGGTATGCTCGATGGGTTGGTTATTGTATTGTACCACAATTATGTCCAAAATCTTTAACAAAATATGATTTAATTACAATATTTGGTCGTGAATATCTTTTACTTATTTATGATCATTTTAAATATGATATACAATCAACACGTTCATTAACACCATCATTAATTCGTTTTTTTGATACATTTCAACAAACATTAACTGATATTGATTCATCATGTTGGTCATCAACTTATGAACGACCAGTTTTACCAATGTTTGAAGCTAATATTGAATCACTTTTAACTAATGATCAATCAAATACACCAACAAATTCAATAAATGAAACAACAGAAAAAAAAGTTACAAGACGTGTATCAAAAGCTTTAACAAATAAAAAACAACTTAAACGACTTGAACCATCTCGAATGTTAACATCAACATCAACATCAACATCAACATCATCATCATCATCATCTCAATTACAACATCATCATCAACAACAACAACATCACAATACATCACCATTACCAGGTAGTGAATTTATAAATCGTGTTTGGTCATGTGTATGTGAACGTCATGAACAACGTTTACGTGCTGAAATTGAAAAATCTTTATTTAAAGCAAATCCAAAACGTGATGAAGTAGCACGTCTTGCTGAACAACGTGGTTTTGCTGAATTTCATTTAATTAAACATGATTTAAATAAACATGGAGCTAATGAAACTGATCTTATGTATAAAAGATTACTTCAATTAATTAATGTTTTTTCACGTGCATTACCTAAAATGCCACAAAATTATATAGCACGAACTGTACTTGATCCAAGACATCAATCACTTATTATAGTTTTTGCTTCAAAAGTTATTGGTGGAATTTGTTTTCGAATGTTTCCACATCGGTAAGAAGAATAATAAATATTTTATATATGATAAAACAATGAAGATTATCGTGTATTATCTATATAGACTTGAGCTTCAACTACTATTATCGTATCTAGTCGTAATCATAAAATAATAATGTACATCATCAAATACTTTTCGCTGTTTAGTTATAACTTCTTTAATGTATCTAACATTATTTGTTCTATATGTTTTCTGTTAATGAACAAACGAATATCTTTCATCAACTGAAAATTTGTATACATGTAAATTAGTAAAAAAAATGAGATATGTATCAAAACTTGATAATTATTTCTCACGAGGGAATCTCTCCAAGTGTTAATCGTCGATCGAGCTCATGAAGGATTCGTCTCTATCCGGAGTTACGACCGTTTTACTGATTTTTCAACCTCTGACAATGGTATTTTACCCATAAACAGATAGTATGGTCACTAGAATATCCTAAAATTTTCAGCTAAAATGAATGTTTCTTTTTCAAGGAATGATCATATTTCAAAGGCAAAGGTCAAAAAATCGAGCTTCTTGGAAACTCAATATCTTGAGAAAGAAACATTCATTTTAGCTGAAACTTTTAGGACATTCTAGTGACCATAAGATCTGTTTATGGGCTAAATTCCATTGTTGAGCTTCCCTATAAATACCATTGTCAGAGGTCAAAAAAACCAGTTAAAACGGTCGTAACTTCGGATGGGGACAGATCCTTCTGGGCTTCTGTAAGTCTCATCTAGTCTTACTTATGGACAAAATATAAGCTCGATCGGCGATTAACACTTGGAGAGGTTCCCTCGTCAGAGTATACTATCGTAATAAGCGAATGCAAAAACAAAAATAATAAAGAAGTTAATTTGCGGTTTGCCAATAACTAATAGAATTCTCAGATACTTTGAAAACTTCAATTGATCAAATCTTATAAATTTATGTTCGTACTGAATTCATATAGCAAACATTAAAAAAAAAAACTTATGAATAGGAAAGAAATTATTTTTTTTTTGTTTTTATTTAGAAATTTTTCCGAAATTGTCTTTTGTGCTGTTAGTGAATATCAACAAGTACGTGGTTATGGTACTCATTTAATGAATCATTTAAAAGATTATCATATACGATTAAATATAACAAATTTATTAACATATGCTGATGGTTTTGCTGTAAGATAAATTTTGATCATTTTGTTTTTGTTTTTGTTTTTCTTTCTCTTATTAGAAAAATAATTTTATATTTAAAGGTTGGTTATTTTAAAAAACAAGGTTTTTCATCAACAATAACATTAAATGAACAAGTTTATACAGGTTATATAAAAGATTATGATGGAGCAACATTAATGCAATGTTCACTTTATACACAAGTAACATATACACGTTTAACTGAAACATTATCATTAATAAAAGAAAGTATAAATGTTATTCGAACACATCGTTTTAATCAAATAAAACAAGCTCATCCAGATGCAAAATTTCTTCCTAATGATATACATACAACTGATTTAAATAATTATGATAATTTATTAAATATAGATCATAATAATATAAATTCATCAGATGAAACAGTTGATATTAATTTATTATATATAACATTAAAAAGTGTTTATCAAGAAATTCGTTCACATTCATATGCTAGTTATGTACAAAAACGAACACTATTTCAAGATTATTTATCAATACAACCCGTATTTCCTATTGATCTTGATACAATACATGATAGATTAAAAACAAAATATTATCATAATGCATATACATTTACAGCTGATATAAGTCGTCTATTAGATATTGTTGGACGAGCTTATTCAAATCAAAAAAAAGATATTGTAAATGAAATACGTATATTTGATACATTTGTAAGACGTAAAATGAACGAATTTGGCTTAGAAATTGGTCAGGCACAACAAATATATGAATAATTTTTTTTTTTCTTTTCTCATTTTACATTTGTATAGATTAGAAAAAAAATACAAATAAATAAATAACTCATTGGCGTTTTTATGTATATATACATGGATGTGTGTAGATATATTTAGATATTAGTTTTATTTTTAATCTATCATGCCACGTGCTGGTTTACGAAATAGTCTTGTGGAACAACCAAGATCAATAGAACGTAAGTAAAGAATTTCTTTGATAACAATAGTATTTGAATGGGAAATTAAATATGCTTGAAAGTAGAAATCCTATGGCTTGATATTTCTAGTTCCGGTCGGAATAGAATAGAATTTCTAATTTCTATTATTATTTAGAGTTTGTCAGTCGGAATCATTGATCTAAAAGAGTTTATTAGAAGTCTTATTTCTAAGATTCAGAACCGGATACAAAA